CCGCAGGCGTGGGTGTGTCTGTGTCTGTGTTTGTGTATGTGTTTGTTGTTGTGTTTGTGCTTGTGCTGTTGTTTGTTATTGTGCTTGTTCTTATGATTGTGCTTGTGTGTGTGTGTGTGTGTTTGTGTTAGCGTGTGTGCGTGTGTGCGTGTGTGAGTGTTTGCGTGTGTGCGCGTGTGCGTGTGTGCATTTGTGTGTGTGTGTGCTCGCGCGCGCGTGTGTGTGTGTGTGTGTTTGCGTGTGCGTGTGCGTGTGCGTGTGCGTGTGCGTGTGCGTGTGCGTGTGCGTATGTGTGTGTGTGTGTGCGTGTGCGTGTGCGTGTGTGTGTAGGTGTGTGTGTAGGTGTGTGTGTGTGTGCGCGTGTGTGTGTGCGCGTGTGTGTGCGCGTGTGTGTGCGCGCGTGTGTGTGTGTGGGTGTGGGTGTGGGTGTGGGTGTGTGTGGGTGTGTGTGGGTGTGTGTGGGCGTGTGTGGGCGTGTGTGGGCGTGCGCGTGTGCGCGTGTGCGCGTGTGCGCGTGTGCGCGTGTGCGCGTGTGCGCGTGTGCGCGTGTGCGCGTGTGCGCGTGTGCGCGTGTGCGCGTGTGTGCGTGTGTGCGTGTGTGCGTGTGTGCGTGTGTGCGTGTGTGCTTGTGTGCGTGTGTGCGTGTGTGCGTGTGTGCGTGTGTGCGTGTGTGCGTGTGTGCGTGTGTGCGTGTGTGCGTGTGTGCGTGTGTGCGTGTGTGCGTGTGTGCGTGTGTGCGTGTGCGTGTGTGCGTGTGTGCGTGTGTGCGTGTGTGCGTGTGTGCGTGTGTGCGTGTGTGTGCGTGCGTGTGTGCGTGCGTGTGCGTGCGTGTGCGTGCGTGTGCGTGCGTGTGCGTGTGCGTGCGTGTGCGTGTGTGCGTGTGTGCGTGTGTCGTGTGTCGTGTGTGTGTGCGTGGTGTCGTGTGTCGTGTGTCGTGTGTCGTGTGTCGTGTGTCGTGTGTCGTGTCGTCGTGTGTCGTGTGTCGTGTGTCGTGTGTCGTGGTGTCGTGTGTCGTGTGTCGTGTGTCGTGTGTCGTGTGTCGTGTGTCGTGTGTCGTGTGTCGTGTGTCGTGTGTGTGTCGTGTGTCGTGTGTCGTGTGTCGTGTGTCGTGTGTCGTGTCGTCGTGTCGTGTGGTGTGTGGTGTGTGGTGTGTGGTGTGTGTGTGTGTGTGTGTGTGGTGTGTGGTGTGGGGTGTGGGGTGTGCGTGTGCGTGTGCGTGTGTGTGTGCGTGTGCGTGTGCGTGTGCGTGTGCGTGTGCGTGTGCGTGTGCGTGTGCGTGTGCGTGTGCGTGTGCGTGTGCGTGTGCGTGTGCGTGTGCGTGTGCGTGTGCGTGTGCGTGTGCGTGTGTGCGCGCGTGTGTGTGTGTGTGTGTACGTGGGAGGGGACATGGACGCAGCGGCACCATGCGAACGTACCCACTGTTCCATGTGGGGCAAGAAACATGTGAGGGGTGTGCCGAAAAAAGGAAGCGCGTGCGGGGTTTGCCGGAATTGTCCAGGGCATGAAGAGGAGGAACAGGAGGAGGAGGAGGAGGAGGAGGAGAAGGATGAGGAGGACGGTGGGGAGGTGGAGAAGGGAAGGGAAAAGACAGGGAGAAGGGGAAGGAAAAGGAGGAGACGCGCGGCGCTGCGGATTCAAACAAGGACCCAGCCACAGGAGGGGGTTGGGGAAAATGATTGTTAAGTCGGGCCTGTCCCTCTACAGGAATTCCAAACATGATACGTTGCCGATCTTGTACTATTTCTGATGAGTTTGTGGAATTCTTCCACTTTTTTCTCTTGCGTCCACCATCCGCCTGTAGGAGGGCGTGCCCGACCGAAAGCTATTGCCAAGACGTCGATGAAGAGAAGGACCACTTGGGGACCGGGAGGGGCCCCGGTTGACGGGCCGCTCCCTCGAGTTAAGTCGGGGACCCTGGTCGTGCCCGAGGCTCGCCGTCGCCTTCGCCAGCGAAGCCCCCTCGCTCCATCTTCGGCGCTCCCGGTGCTTGCATGAAGTCGGGCGTGTCCCTCCACAGGAGGAATACCTCTTCCAAAATAGTCAAGAACAGTCTGGGGACGGTTTTTTGGACCATGTTTGACCATTTTGGGATATTTCGGTGAGTATGTTTTTTTTTTCGCCCAGATCCGCCTGTAGGAGAACATGCCCAACCTAATGCTTGCACGATGGCCGTCCCTGGTGGCTTCCGGGCCATGGCTCAGGCCCTTGGCGCCCGTTCGGGGCGATGCGGGCAACCCCAGGAGCGATCTCGGCGAAACGCCGTTGCTTTCCGAGCAGCCCGACGCCAGAAAACCGCCGAGAGCCGACGAAGCCCGTACAGTCGGACCGAGGCAGAAGATCGAGGTCGGTTCGGGGAGGGTACCCTGGTGCTCTTCGTGCTCGTCGGATGTTCCGTGAGCATCCTGGGGAGGGTGCCCTCGGATGTTCTGTGTGTTGCGGCCGGCGGAGGGCCTCGTGTTCTCGAAGGGTGCTCTTCTGTCCCAGGTCCGATTGTGCCACTCCTCCGTTTGGGCTCGAAGTCTCAGTGGCTCGAGGCGGCCGTTTGGTGGCTCGAGGCGGCGGCCCAGGGTCCGAGCGCGCGCCGCGCCACCTGCAAGAGAGGCGGGCCCGGCGGCGCGCAAAATGCGGGCCGCACTGCGGGGAAGGGATCAGTTGATGGGCCCATGTTGCGAGGAAGAGGAGGAGGAGGAGGAGGAGGAGGAGGAGGAGGAGGAGAAGGACGAGGAGGAGGGGGAGGGGGAGGAGGAGGAGGAGGAGTGGAGGAGGAGGAGGAGGGAGGAGGAGGAGGAGGAGGAGGAGGAGGGAGGAGGAGGAGGAGGAGGAGGGGAGGGGGAGGGAGGGGGAGGGGGAGGGGGAGGGAGAGAGGGAGGGAAGGAGGAGAGGAGGGGAGGAGGGAGGAGGAGGAGGAGAGGAGGAGGAGGAGGAGGGGGAGGGGGAGGAGGGGAGGGGGAGGGGGAGGGGAGAGGGAGGAGGAGGGGGGAGGGGAGAGGAGGAGGAGGGAGGGGAGGAGGAGGAGGAAGAGGAGGAGTAGGAGGAGGAGGACCTCCTACTCCCCCCTTCCCCCCGTCCCACATTTGTCACCAGTGGAGAAAGAACCCTTATGATACCGGAGAAAAACCCCAATCAGATTTCTGTTAGGGCTATAGGGTTATTGGGCTATAGGGCTATACGGCTATCGGGTTATAGGGCTATCGGGCTGTAGGGTTATAGGACTGTGACCTATAGGGCCATAGGGCTATAGGGCTATGGGGCTATAGAGCTATATGGGCTATGGGGCATAGGGATACAAGGCTATTAGGGCTATAGGGATATAAGGCTATAGGGCTACAGGGCTATAGGGCTATACGGCTATAGGGCTATAGGGCCATAGGGCTACTGGGCTATTGGGCTATTGGGCACCCCCGGGCACCCGGGCACCCGGGCACCCGGGCACCCGGGCCCGGCCACCGAAATCGGCCACCCGGGCACCCCCGGGCACCCGGGCACCCGGCCCCGGCCACCGAAATCGGCCGCTCACCTCACCTCAGCTTTATATCCGCCAGAACCCCTACAGAAGCAAGCTCTGATTGGGGAACCACCAGCTAGGGGGGGCTGGCCGCTCCTCCTTCCCGAGCTCGTGGCACCCCGTTCTGGGCGCGCCCCCAGAGAGTGCCCGGCACGGAGTGCCACCACCTCGGGGGGGCGGCCTCTGGGAAGGGAGTTCTGTCAAGTTTTGGTGGTGGTGGCTCGCTTTGCTCTCCTGAATATTCAGGAGGAGAAGAAACACACAGACACAATTAATCTTCGATTCCCCAGAAGATATGGGAAAATATGGGAAGTGGGGGGGAAGACAGAAACCCAGAAAATATTGGAAAATATGGGACATACTTTTATTTGTGTGTATTTATTTGTGTATCCTGGGCCCCCTTCAAATATGGCAGGTGATGGTGACATGTTTGCTCATCATCCGTGGCCCTGGGCCACAGGTCTGTGTGGGTCTGCTGCCCACAGCCTCAGACCGGCGTGGACTTTTGTGGCCCCGAGCGCCCTACGCCCAAGCATGAGCGCTTCGTTGAAAAAGTCAGGACGGGAGGGTTTGGGCAATCTTCGGCCTCGGGGGGGCCCTCGCCGAGCCTCGGGGAGCGTCAGAAAACGACTCAGGATGAAAACCAGGTCCTGGGGAATGAGTCGCACAAAAATCAGGACGGGAGCTTGTTGGCACTTTTCGGCCTCGGGGGGCCCTCGCCGGGCCTCGGGAGCGTCAACAAAACTACCTAGGACGAAAACCATGTTCGGGGGAAAGATTCGGGACTTCCAGGGAGCCCGTATTCAAAAAAATCCGGACGTCGCGTGTCTGGGTGGCGGGTCGGTGGCCAAGGGCCGCAGAGCGGGGTGGGCCTGTGGTCCCGAGCGGCAGTTAGGGGCGCGCCCCGCTGCTCAGAAGCCTTCCTGTTTTCTCGCCCCTGGCTTCCCCAGGTGGGGGCAGGAAGGGATCATGATGTTCGTCCGTTTTGGGCCTCATGGGGACTTCTCGTTGCCGCTGCTTGATCCGTCTCGAGTAACTGGACAGGATGGAACCTGGGAGGGGTTCGGGAACGGATGTTGGCCGCACGCAGGTTCCAGGTACGAAGTTTTCGAACGTTTTCGTCGATTCTCGGAGGCTTTCATCTTCGGGATGCTCTGCACCAGCTGCTCGCCGAGAGCGTTTCGGGAGTGCCCAGATCGTCCCGAATGGCCCACAGAGAGCCGAGCTGTGACCCGGGAACCAAGGGCAACGTTATGGGGGGATGGGCCCATCAGGGATGCATCAGCCCCCCAAGCGCCCAGTCGACGCCGGCAGGGCCCGATAGCCCACCCCAATTTCGCCGCTGCCAGCTCGATGCTTCTCCCCCTGAGCAGCCCCCCCTCCCTTAACATTGCCCTTCACGTCTCGCTTCTTAGACGGCTGCCCCCCCCCCCCCCCCTTCACCCTGGCGGCCTTGTACGCGCCGTCAGCAGGTGGTCCCCTAGCTGTGGGCAAGATGAAGAGCATGAGAGAGCGCATGAACAAAACCCTCAACTTGAAGGACCTGTCCGTGAACACGAAGCAGGACAAGGACGACTCGGGCGTTGCGGGCCTGGCAGGGGGGCCCAAGAGCAAGAAGATCGTCGGCATGTCCGAGGCTGATTTTTCTAGGCGGTACAAGCTTGGAGGGATGGTTATGGAGTCGACGCACGCAGGAATGTCGGTATTATACGCTTCCAGGCTCAAAGACAATTTCCAGGTCGTGGTCAAGGTGCGGGTCAAGGCAATGTCGTTCAAGAAAGGCTCCGAGGAGATGGAGTGGCGCGCGACCATGGAGTTCCAAATGAACATGCCGAAGACAGAGTCGATATGTGAGCTAATTGAGGTGATCGAGACCGAGACGAGCTATTACGTCGTCATGGAGAGAGTGGAGGGTAGGGACCTTTTCGAAGAGGTTGCGGACCAGCCCATGAAGCACGTCGACGTGCGCGAGGTCATCTACCAGATACTGGAGGCCGTGAACGCGATGCACACCGCCGGAAGGATACACAAAGACCTGAAGCTCGAGAACGTCATGGTCGATATGGACTCCCCGAGGGCGAAGAAGGTCGGGCGCAGGCTCTCCGGGGTCGGCATGGCGGGGGACCCCCTGGGAGGGGAGATCGGCAGCCCCGTGCAGGCGAAGCTCATCGACTTCGACACCGTGGAGTCCTGGGAGCCCAACAGCCCGAAGGCCAAGGACGTGCTGGGGACGGACGGCTACATCTCGCCAGAGGCGGGATGGGAGCTGCAAAGGTCAAAATGACAACTCCTGGCGGTTGGCTTAGCCATCCGCCGCAGGACACTTGCGTCTGCTGGAGGCCCCCTTTACCTCCTTGGCCTTGATGCCCTCCGCCGCCTCTGGGGAAAGACGGCCGTCGACAGATACTGCCAGCATCAAGTTACCCCTGGCCGCCACGAGGTTTACATCTCGCCAGAGGCCCACTCGGCGGCAAGCAACGAGGACCTCGCGTGCCCTCGCAGTTCCGTCTTCCGGGTGCATCGGCGTCGACCGGCGTCGGGCAATCGATGGGATGGCGCCGATTGAGCGTCGACTCGCATCGATTAGCGTCGATGTAGCGTCGACTAACGCCGACTCGCATCGGTCCGCGAGAGTCAATAAGATGGTATGGAATGCTCCCTCCATGAGTTGCCACAGAAGGCTTACCTGGGCGAGTACTCGCCCGCCTCGGACGTGTATTGCGTGGGCGTCATCCTTTACAAGCTTCTCACCAAGAAGTTCCCGTCCCGCAAGGAGCTGTTCGACGACAAGCCCGGCGAGAACTACGTCGGCAGCCCCGCCATGAAACGCATCTACGACCGCCTGAAGGTTCTAGGCCTCCCAGATGGGGTCCGAGTAGATGGTGTCGGAGGATCGCGCCACATCGCCGATGCATCGCCGATGCGGCTCGATGTGGAGCCCGATCTACTTCATGTCGACGTCGCCGATGCATCGCTTACGTCGACGATGCGTCTCCAGTGCATCGCCGATGCATCGCCGATGCATCGCCGATGTATCGGCGATGCGTCTCGATCCTCCGACACCGCCTACTCCGATCCCATCTAGCAGGCCTCTAGTTAATTATGCAGGTGGAGGAGGAGGAGGAGGAGGAGGAGGAGGAGGAGGAGGAGGAGGATGGGGAGGAGGAGGAGCAGGAGGAGAAGATGTTGGAGGAGGAGGAGGTGGAGGCCTCTAAAGGTTCAGAAGATCGACTTCACGCTCTCCCCCCTCGACAAGTGCCCCCAGGCAGGGCCCACGTCGAGCCCATCGCTCCCAGAGCCGATGCCTGGCCCAGTCCGCTTCGGTTCCGAGATGTCGGCGATCCACTGCGGTCCGATGCGTGCGTGGCGCTGGTGATCGTTGTTTTACTTCATTGTTTTGCCGATCGGCGCGAACCCTCGTGCTGATTCGTTTCGGATGAGGAGGAGGGGAAGATGAGGAGGCGTGTCGTGGCGAACAAGGAGGTGGGGAAGCATGGGCTCAGGGGGGGATGCATCGACCGACCCCCTTCCCAAATTTCCCATTCATCGCCGATGGCTCCCGCCCAGGACTGTGCGGTTTCGCTATTGGAGGTCTATCGCCGATCTATCTGCGATGTACTGCCGATTCCAGTTCAATGTTTCCTCGAATCCCCCACACCTCACCGATCCATTTCGGATGAGGAGAAGGAGAAGATGAGGCAAAACCAAGTCATACCACGCGCCTCCTCGTCAAGCGGCCTGACCAGTGCAGGCTGCAGTTTGGCATCGCTTGGTATCTCTTGGAAGCGAGGGTGGTCAAAAGCGAGGTAGGTTTGTTTTCCCCCTAGATTCATTTCGGATGAGGAGGAGAAGGGAGGAGGAGGAGGAGGAGGAGGAGGAGGAGGAGGAGGAGGAGGAGGAGGAGAAGGAGGGAGGAGGAGGAGGAGTGTCGTGGCGAGCGAGGGGGAACAGAATCCTAGTCGGCCCCGAGCCGACGCGGGGGCCTGACGCCCCGCGTGGACAGGGGGGTCCCACAGGCCTCCTGCCACGCCGCTCCTGAAGCAGCCCCTTGGTGGTCTTTTTTTCGTTCCCGCCTCCTCCTCGTCCTCGTCCTCCTCCTCCTCCTCGTCCTCCTCCTCCTCCGCCTCATTTTCCTTTTCTCCTCCTCCTCCTCCTCCTCCTCCTCCTCCACCTCCTCCTCCACCCCGCCCTGTGGAGTAGATCTTGGCTGTTTGAGGCGCCTGCTTCGAGCGGATGGAGTCTCCCCCCACAGGACGCATTGCTGCAAACAGTCGCACTAAGCAGAGGTCTGGTGCCAGACCCCCCCCCGTTCCCCCCTCCCCCCCCCCTCCCGCCCACTGTCGCAACGCCGAATGAGAAGACGTTCCCCTGGCGCCGCCGGGCCGATTCGGTCTCGACTCCGTGCTGACGTGGCCCGAGCCGGCGCACATTCCTCGGAGAAGGGAACGCATGCACGACCAGGGTGAAGTCGGGGCTGTCCCCCTACAGGAGGAGTGTTCGAGAATAGTCAAGAGATAGTCCGGGGACGATTGTTTGAATATTTTTGCCTTCTCTAGAGCATGTTCTGGCATTCTATCATTTGTCCTACAAAATCCGCATTTAGGAGGACATGCCCGACCTAACATTACCAGTGGCGGGCTGTTTTTCAGTCCCAGGACTTTTTTCGAGTCGAGGGCGACGTCGGGGTGGTCTGGTGTGCACTTCCCGGGGAAACGACGACACATGTATACACCAAAGGTTTCCGTATACACCAGGATCCGCTCTCCGATGCAAGCTTCAGTGCAGGGCTGGGGAACGCGTCGGCGTATAGTGCTCGGTTTCCTAATTCCGATCCGATGCGATTTCGCAGGCCTTACGGCCGGTACCGCCGACCCTGAAGGGAGACGACGACGACGACGACGACGACGACGACGACGACGGCGACGGCAACGGCGGCGGCGGCGGCGGCGGAAACGACGACGACGCTGACGTGGGCCAGAGTACTCAGGAAGGGTTCTTGGGGTCTCTTCTGCAGTCTCTCGGGGGCCTCTGGGGCAGAATTTTGGGGCCTCTCGGGGCCCACTTCTGACGAACGAGGCCTCCTGGCGGCACTTCTGTGCGCACGGCACAGAGTGCAGCTGTAATTAGTCAAGTGCAGCACGAGTTGTACACTGTGGATGCTCGTTTCCCACCTGTTTCCTACGACCCTCGTCAACATTACTCTCAAACATGTCTGAAGTGGTTGAACTGCTTGTCGGAAGATCTGGGGCCAAGTATCGATGAGTGCGGGGTACTTGCATGCGCCGCCCCTCCAATGTCGGTCGACGTCAAACTTTCGAGTCAACTTCGGTCAGGCTATCTTTGCCCTCGCCCCGACATTGAAGGGGCGGCGTGCCGACACTGAGGGGCGCGCCGAAATCGCAATGACGTGCCAGCAACTTGTGAGGTTGGTTTTGACGAGGGTAGTACGCACCTCCAGCGGCACGACTTCTTGCTTGCTCGCCCGGGAGCCTCTGCTCCGCTCTGGCGCTGCCCCGAGGCGGTGCCCTCTGCTCCCCCGCCACAGGCGGCCCAGCTCTGCGAGGCCATGCTCGCCTTCGACGCCGGGGCCCGGCCCTCCGCCGAGGAGGCGCTGCAGAGCCCGTGGTTCTCCGGAGGGGAAGAAACACACAGACCCAATTAACCGTCGACTCCCCAGAAAATATGGGAACATATGGGAAGTGGTGGGGAAGACAAAAACACAGAAAATACAGGAAAATATGGGGTATTTGTTTGATTGGTGTGTATCTATTTGTGTGTCCCAGGGCCCCTTCAGGTTCACCCTCCCGGCCGACGCGCTCCCCGAGAGGGTCTCCACGCAGAGGCAGGCCTCCATGCGCTGA